AATATATGATATTAAGTAATTAAAATAAACTTTAAATTAGACAATTAGCATGCCAATGTATCTCTACTTGAGACCTAATTCTGCTGGAAGGTGTGTAACTGCAACTAAAATAGCTTGACAGCTACATATGAATGATAGTTATGGTGTTATTAGGATATCTTTATAGCCATTTTGTACCTGTTTTTCCAACTAGAATTGTTATACATGGCTGCCCTTCAGCCGTCGGCTGAGGGGCAAGGATCTCCTACAGGAAAAAAATCTTTCTCCCAACTTTTTTCACAACCTTCAACATCTGTTATCCCAATTCGGCAAGCGACTGTCTACAAAGGTGAAGCTGCAGTCATTTTCTCCAGAGCAGATGCAGAAAAACTTGCGGAGCCTTTTCGATGGTCTTTAGTTGGAAAATTCTCTCATGGGAGACCTTCTTTAGAAGATATTCGCAAGTTATTTGCTTCATTAAATCTAAAAGACCACATTTTCATTGGCTTGATGGATTATAGGCATGTTCTAATCAAGTGCTCCGCTGAAGCAGATTTTAACAGGATTTGGACGAGAGGGATTTGGCAGTTAGGCAAATTTCCAATGCGTGTATTTCGATGGTCCCAGGAATTTCATGTGCTCAGAGAATCCTCTCTGGTTCCAGTTTGGGTTGAACTTCCAAATTTACCTATCCATTATTTTGATAAACATTCGTTGTTTTCCATATTATCTCCAGTAGGAAGACCATTGTTTTTTGATTTGGCAACGGCTGCTGGGACGCGTCCTAGTGTGGCAAGGGTATGCGTGGAGATCGATGTAGCAAAGCCTGTTTTATCGAGAATCTGGGTGGCGGTTGAAGGAGAAACCGGCTTTTGGCAAAAAATTGTACCAGACGATATGCCAAGATATTGCTCAGCTTGCTGGAGATTGGGTCATTCATCTGAAAACTGCAAGAAGAACTTCGTCGATGGGGGACATCAACACCAAAACAATCAAACCAAAAGGCTTAAGCATGGTTCAAAGCTGTCTGGAAATACTCAGCATAAATTAGTCATTACAAATGAATGTAATGACTTAGAAGCTAAAGATAAATTATCAAAAGAGGGTACAATAGCTCCTGAACAAATGCAAAGTTCTGGTGAGAAAGAAGACGAAGGAATTACAACAGCTGTAACAAAGGAATCTGAGGGAACTGCTGATAAATGCAACACTGAAGCCAAAGGGAAAGCATCAATGGAATTCAAGTCAGCTACTGAAGAGGCTCGACTTACGGGCGTAATCCAAATTGAAGGAACGTCAATAGGTGCAATGTCTGGAGCACCTGAGCAAAACGATGCAGTTGCCGACGCTTACATGGTCAAGGAGGGAAAAAAAACAGCAGCTTTAACAACTGATGCACATCCACAGTCGGTTGCTGATGGCACCATGCATGTCCATAAGGAGCATTCGGTAGTGGAAGACCAATTGACAGTTTGCTATGGAAATGATTGTGAGGGGCCACAAAGTCTCAGGAAACATAACGTGGGAATGGTTCAGCATCAAATGATCGACACCACAAGCACAACTAATCAACTGTCCGACAATTCCAATGGGAATATTTCAACGGGGCCCCAGCTTATTGAGGAGCATAATTTGGGATTAGTTTATAATGAAAGGTCCGACACCAATAATCTTTATGTTGACTTGCGTGGAGATGATGATGAAGATTCCAAATCCAATGCGGCTGATGAAGTAGCTTTGCCAACTAACGCAGGAAATTTATCTCCGAGATTGGTTATACCACGTGAGAAGTTGGCTGAGCCATCAATACACACTCTAAACATTGACCAATCTGTAGGTGTTCAAATGGATTGCCGACAAGATCGTGTTAAGGGTGTGCGAGAGCTGGCTTCACATCCGACAGACAGCTACGTTCAGCGACATCATCTCAAAACTCTTTCCAGGTTTTTTCTCATGATTAATGGTTTATTTTGGAATATCAGAGGGGTTGCAAAAGCCCCTAATCTAAGAAGATTGATAAATTTAGTTCGTGCTCATCATTTGAAGTTTGTTGTCATTTGTGAACCGAAGTTAGACGTGTCCAAAATTGAGTCCATTCGTCTACGATTATTATTTGATTATTCCTTTGTTAACTTATCGGGTGATATTTGGATATTCTATAATAGCCCTTTTGTGTGTTCCATTATTGGTAGTTCGGATCAGCATATTTCCATACATGTTCAAAGTCAATTGTTTTCTTCTCCAATCATCATGTCTTTTGTCCATGCTAAATGTTCATTAGAGGAGCGGTGTGGCTTATGGTGTTCTTTATTAAATGATAAGCCTGTGTCACTACCTTGGTGTATTGGGGGTGACTTTAATGTTATTTTAGCCCCTCACGAAAAACGAGGTGGACGTCCGTTTGCTATAGCGGAAGGAGCGGATTTCATGTCTTTTATGGAAGAGGCAGGGGTTTTGGATGTTGGCTTTTCAGGAGCTAGTTTCACGTGGTCTAATAATCGGAGAGGTAGAGCTCGGGTTTCAAAGAGATTAGATAGATTTTTAATTAATGGGTCTTGTTTGGATCTCTCAGACGTGATTCTGTACTCCATCTGTCAAGACATCCCTCGGATCATGCACCATTGAAAATTACTTTTTCTGATCGATCAGACAATAGTCCACGACCTTTCAGATTTTTGAATGTCTGGACGAGCAAACCAGAACTATTGGATGTGATTCGACAGTCTTGGAATCAAGATGTGAGTGGATCTCCGCTACGTGTTTTGTGCTCTAAATTATTGGCAACGAGGAGGGCTATTCATACATGGAACAAGCAACATTTTGGGAATATATTTGATGCTGTACGTTCTGCGGAAGTGGTGGTCCAACAAGCAGAAGAATCGATGGATCAATATGCATCGGAGGAATCTCAGGTTGAGCTCAGTAAGGCTCAGGCAGAGTTGCGGAATGCATTGTCAATAGAAGAGCAATTTTGGAGTCAAAAAGCCAGGGCAAAATGGCTTAAAGAAGGAGATCGTAATTCAAAATATTTCCATGCGGTTGTAAGACAGAGACGAATTAAAGGAATGATACACCGAATCAAAAAGTCAAACGGAGTTTGGGTGGACACCAATGCTGACATAGCAACTGAGGCCATATCATATTTCTCTGATCTCTTTACTGGATATCTTGAGTCATCTTCTGATATGCAACATATGATTCCGCACATGATATCGGAAGAGGAAAATAGAAAATTAGAAGAAATGCCTTCGATTGAAGAGATTCATCGAGTTCTAAAGTCAATGGATGGAGATAGTGCTGCTGGCCCCGATGGCTTCACAGGCAAATTTTTTACATTCGCCTGGAAAATTATTGCTCAAGATGTTTACAAGGCAATTCTCAGTTTTTTCTGTGGTGCAGAGTTACCTCGTTTTATCACCTCTACCTCAATTGTATTAATTCCAAAAAAACCAAATCCTCAGGAGTTTTCTCATTATAGGCCAATCAGTCTGTGTAACTTCTTCAATAAGATGCTATCCAGGATCTTAGCTGATAGACTGGCTTCTCTATTGTCCAAAATTATCTCGCCCCAACAGACAGGCTTTGTGAAGGGCCGTAATATAACAGAAAATTTTCTGCTAGCACAGGAGGTAGTATCGGGTATTGGGAAAAAAACTAGAGGTGGTAATGTGGTAATGAAGCTGGACATGTCTAAGGCATATGACCGAGTGGCATGGGATCATATCATTGGTGTTCTCAGGAGATTTGGCTTTGGAGAAAGATTCATTGATTTGGTTTGGCGATTGATCTCCAATGTCTGGTTTTCTATCATTATAAATGGGGCATCGCATGGTTTCTTTAAATCTACACGAGGCCTACGTCAGGGTGATCCATTATCGCCTGCTTTATTCATTATAGGAGCTGAGGTGTTATCTAGAGGATTGAATAATCTTGCTATGCAATCGGGGTTTGTGGGTTTCAAAGTCCCCTTGGCATGTCCTACTATAACTCATTTGGCTTTTGCGGATGATATTCTAATTTTTTCAAATGGATCCTCTTATTCTCTAAAGATTATCATGCAGGTGCTAGATGCGTATCAAAGGTGTTCTGGACAATTGATAAATGTGCTGAAAAGTTGCTACTTAGTACATCCCTCGATATCACCGGCAAGAAGAAGGGTGATTGAACGTATCACCAAATTTAATTATCAACCATTTCCGATACGTTATTTGGGATTCCCCCTCTACTTTGGCAGATGTAAATCATCATATTTTGGGGAAGCTTGCCAATCTATCCTAGGGAGAATAAGGTCATGGAAATCAAGGATGCTTTCTTTTGGAGGCAAAATAGTTCTAATCAAACATGTGTTGGCAACGATGCCAGTACATCTGTTGTCAGCAGCGGTTATCCCGGGTAAGGTATTTAGAACTATAGAAAAAGCCTTCTCGACCTTCCTATGGGGGTCATCCTCCGATGAGTCTAAATTTCACTGGATACGGTGGTCTCAGATGTGCTATCCGGTTGATGAGGGAGGAGTTGGTTTCCGGAGGTTACAGGACATCTACACAGCATTCTCATTCAAGTTTTGGTGGAACTTCAGAAAGGGATACTCGTTGTGGGCTTCGTTCATGAAAGCTAAGTATTGTAGACTACTACATCCTTGTCAGGTAGAAATCAGGTCAATGGACTCCGCAATCTGGAGAAGGATGGTCAATGTAAGTCGACAAGTGGAGCTATCTATGCTATGGGATATAAAAAACGGAGCTTGTCATTTTTGGTACGACAATTGGTTGGGAGGGGGTGCCTTATTTCTCCGTACGACGGTTGTCTCTAATTTGTCGTTTGGTGATTTTATCATCAATGGACACTGGGATGTGATTAGATTATATCAGACCTTGCCGACGGATCTGGTTCCCTCTATTTTAGAGCATCCAGTCCCGGAAGACTGGGGTGAAGCTGAAGTCATTTGGATGTCCACAACATCTGGAAACTTCTCTCTAGCTTCGGCATTCCGGGATATTAGGCAAGCATGAAACAAGTCTATGGTTTTTGATAGCATTTGGCATCCTCAGATCCCACTCAAAATTTCATTCTTCATGTTAAGATTGTTGCTGGAAAGGCTGCCTTTACCGGATAGGTTATGTAATCTTGGTTTACATTTACCATCAAAGTGTTTCTGCTGCGATACCGCATCAGAGGAGTCAATTGAACATTTATTTTCCAAAGGCCATATAGCTTCAACAGTTTGGAATTACTTTGGAGCTTCATGTGGATTGACTTTTCCAGGCTCTTCTTTACGCTCCCGTATAGTGAGTTGGTGGTTGCACTCATATGATTCAGAGATACAGCGATTTATTGGACGCATTCTTCCCAGTATAGTATGTTGGCAAATTTGGAAAGCAAGAAATAAAGCTTTTTTTGAGGATGTACATATGAGATCGCCCGCCATTTGTGTTGCCATTTCCTTGGAAATCCATACCATTGTGGAAATTTATTTCAAACAAGTTTTCAAGGCACATTCAATCTATCATTTGTATGATTGGCCGTATTCATCTCACACTTATGTCACGTACAAACTTGTTTGTTGGGAACCAAAGGAAACCGGTCGGTTTACACTAAATACCGATGGCTGTTCTAAGGGTAATCCAGGATTGGGTGGAGGAGGTGGGGTTCTTCGGGATTCACATGGCATTCCTTTGATTGGTTTTTCGGCATATCTTGGAGAAACTACATGTCTAAGTGCAGAGGCCCGGGCTCTTCTTATTGGCATTCAAACATGCATACATTGGGGTTTTGAGAATCTCTATATTCAATCGGATTCTTTGGTATTAATTGGAATTCTTCAGAAACGTATTCACTGCCCTTGGAAGATTCGACGAGAGATTAGGCATATTTGGCAGTTCGTGGAAGATCCTGATCGTTTTTCACATTGTTATAGGGAAGCTAACACAGTCGTTGATGCATTGTCCAATGTGGGCGTCTCTCATCCAGAGCATCAACTCAAGTTATACGACTCCTTCCACATGTTTCCAACTATGGCTCGTGGAGCAATTCGCCTCGACAGATTAGGGATGCCTTCAATTCGGAAAATTAAGCATATGAAGGGCTGAGGATAATGGAGAATTGGAGCTATTTTGCTTTTCAACTAAGCACCAAACATTTCTGGTTCATTTGTTGTCTTTAGAGTTCAATCCTGTACTTCAAAATGGTGTTTCTTTCTGTGTAACAATTATTCTCATCAATAAAAGACTACAAATTTAAAGAAAAAAAAAGACTATATTTTTGGGAGGGCCAAGGCTGTGCATTGCAAAACATGTTTCCTCTAGTATTGTGCTAGAATGAAATAATTTTTAAGAAGTAAAAATAAAATGAGAAATCCGTAATGATCAACCGATCGGAGCACATCGATTAGGAAATAGGCGGACACAGGACAATGTGTAAATGGATTGTTTGGTTCGTGGTTGAGTAATTGGCAGTGCATAATAAGTTGTAAAATTTCATATGGAAAGGTAGACAGTAGGGCGAGCAATGGTGCAAATTTGGTAAATTCGGTGCAATGAATTTGTTAAATTCGGTTATTTGATTGGTAAATCTTTAAACCTATTTGGCGATTTCAATTTCGAATCGGGGGTAACCAATTTCATTTCACTTCCAAATTAAATTCAGAAATGGTTTGCTATAGGTAGGTCCTATAATAGATGATGTTAAGGAGGCAATACTAGACACTCAGATTATTGATCTCAATTGGGCTCCAAGGTATTGTAATAAAGATGCAGACACTTTAGCACACTGCTAAATCGGGCTCTTTAATTGATTCCATATGGAAATTATCTCCAAACTTTGTAAAACAATTTGTGTTGAATGATTTCCAACAGATTTAGTAGTAACATTTTGTATGTTTCTTATTAAAAAAATTTGAAAATGGTAATGACAACGGGTTAACTATTTTCAAGAGCAGGGAAATGGGAAATCAAAGGTGAAAAAGAACCGTTCATCAGCCCATAAAATCTACTTTTTGGGTCTCACAGTCTGAGTTCTTCCATTGCAAGGAGATAGCATCGACAACGAGTTCTGCGGTCTTTCTATCTTTTTCTCTGCCGTCTTTCCTGGTAAGACTAATAACTCCTCTTTTTTTTTTAAGTCTAATTTTTTTCCTATCAGACAAATTGGATAGTTTGTATACTTTTGGCCCAATTGGTAATTTCCTTCTGGGTATTACTTTCATTGAAAACTTCAGTAGTAGACAAATTGGATAATTTGTATACTTTTGGCCCAATTGGTTCTTTCCTTCTGGGTATTACCTTCATTGAAAACTTTTTTTAGGGCTTTTCTTAGGGTTCATAAGGGCACTGAACAATTTGCTTGAAATCGAGATCGGTTCCTTTTATTCCTTCACTATATACGCAGATTTTTGTGACTAGTTTTGTTGTGCTTCGTCCTCATATTTTGATAAGCACATTGCTGTCCTTTGTGATTGTGACGAGGTTAAAATTTACCAATTAAATCAACTCACAAGTTATAACCTAATACCTCATTTTGCTGCAAGTATACAGATCGAAATATAGTATAGCAAAGGTACAAGGGTCGAATCCCACAGGGAGCAACTTAACAAATACCAGAGTTTTAAACCTTATCTTATTATCTAAACTTTTCAAATTATGTGTTGATCAAAGAATTAAAAACAGATTAAGTGCATGAATCCCAACTAACAAATATGTCAAAAGAAAAGATGTTCTAGGGGAATTAAATCCACTAGCTAGTAAAGATCAGATTTGCCATGTACTTTGTAGTCACAATTCACTCTTGTCTTGGTAGGGAACATTTCCAAATGTATACTTATCTCACTGTCGTGCAGAAAAGCTTTGTCACGATCACTAGGTTCCACCTACTGTCGTGGTGAAAATCAACCAGTGATGATCTTAGGCCTTTGTGAAATATTATGAAAAACCCTTCTAGTGATTCACTACTGTCGTGTGTTTCATGCTAGAATTCAATTAATCTTCTTTCCATTATTGTTTACCACTGTCGTGCGATCACAATAACTGATATAATTTGCAAAAGATGATCAAGCTTTAACAAATGTGAAAATCAAGATTAATGAATTACCAAGAACAAGGTTAGTGAAAACTAGCAGCATACAAATCCAAATCTTGCACCAACCAGTTTCATCTACCCCTAGAACAAGAGATAGATCTAGCTAGCTAGACATGATTATCAAAATAACTCCAACTTCTAATAAAGTAGAAGAAGAGTTAGAAATGAAGGAAAAATGGTAGAGAAAGCTCATATGCAAAACCGACCATAGAAAAGCAATTAAAACCAATCCGATTAGGGTGGTAGAACCGACCCTAGGTGGTGGTAGATAAAAGCTTAATTCAATTACAGAATAAACAAACTCTCCAACTCTTTAAGCACTCAAGCTTTGATAATCAAACCAGCAAGAAGTGAATTTATAAAGATAAAAACTAGAACAAGGTGTTTAGAAATATGAAAACTAATATCTAACAGAGCTAAAAACGAAACTAGCTCAAAGAGCTTTATTGAATCTGAAAACTAATCTATTCTAAGCTCTCTATCTACTAACAAAGGTTGGCCAAAAAAATCCCCATTGTTCTTGAATTGTAAGGGGTATTTATAGGTGTTTGGATGAGTTTAAGACAAAACTTAAATTATCATCCATGACCTCATTGCTTAATTATTGTCAAGAATCTTCAAAATCGCAGCTGCAAATTCAACTAAAATACACAAAAAGTTTTCAAGAAAAGTTGCACATGTATCAAAGTCAGGATTTGCTGCTGGAATTTCTTTTTGACAGATTGCATGAATTATTTCTCCATGAAAACGGCAGAATCTACTCTTGTGCTAGTCTTGAAAGTCGTACCTCTTTGAATTATCTTTCCATAGCATCAAGAATCATCCCATTTGGACTTTTGTAGGCTGAGATATGGTCAAAATACCATCCTCTGGTCAAACCCCTGTTTCAATTTCCGACCACAGAATGCAGCTTCTGTATTTCGACTTTTTGTCTATGAAAACAGCAGAATTATATTTCGATGTCTTCATACCAATTGTAGGTCTCTTTCTTAGCTTTAAAATGATATAAAGATCACCTCAATCAGATAAGTATAGCTCCAGATATAGCCAAAATACCGAAGAATGTCAAAACTGTCTTGACTTGCATTTTCTCACTTGAACATTTTTCACTTCATTTCTCTTTTCTACCACTTGAATTCATCACCAATTATCTACTTTTCACCTCATTTGACATCTTTTGGTGATTGGATCATTAACCTGCAAGAAAATGAAGTTTTTACCATTAAAATCAATAGAAATGCAATATTATCCACTTTTACCAAAAATATATAATTTTACCAAAAACCTCTTTATTTTAATTATAAAACTAAATAATCAACTGAAAATTAACTAATAAAATGCACTTAAAAATACGTAAAATAAACTCTTATCAGATTGCATGTTCATGATCAACATTCCAGTTTTCCACTTCCTTGTTAGTCATGCTTTTTCAGTTATTGGTTCTTTTACTTTTACTTTAGTTCAAATGTTTAATTTGTGTGTTTGTTTGTGAACAAATGACTGTGTATTTTAGTCGCTAATTGTGGGTGTCCGGTGATTTTGATAATCTAAGTGTAAATTTTTTCTCGGTGTCCTGTGATTTGTTTGTGTACTTTGACTTCAGTTGTTGTATGTTCCACAATTGGACTGAATTCCGGATGGAGCTGCGGACCCATACCTTGGCAGGGCAACCTGGATGGCAGCTGTTGGGGTAACAAATTTAACGATTTTCCTTCACTTGTATACAACCAGGTGGTAGCCATGGCATTGCTCTTTCCTCCTGGTATTGACTGGGCTGCAACTTGACACCATACTTTTACCTCTTGGGACTTTGCCATTATGGCTTTTATATTCATTGAGCAATCTCCCAAGGAGCATCAAGTAAGGAAAACAAAATTTTGATTCATATGCGAGAAATGGATTGAGAATTTGAGTCTCAATTGGTGTAGGACGAACGGGGTTTTCTACCCTGCGTACGTACTATTCCTATTTTTGTCTCTAATCAGTGGTTAGAATTTTTGTGGATTTATCAGACATAAATTTTATGCCTGCTTGTATAGATGACTGTTAGTGATTCTTGTAGAATTAATATTCTCTGTGTTTGGCATGCAATTTTTTGGCTCATTTGGAGCGTATGCACCGGGAATATCAGAGTTGTTGTCCATCTTTTCCTAGGCAATTTTTTATTTGTTGCATTAGATTCGTCAGAATTGCTTAATTTGCTGTTTGCAGGTTTGCTTTAATTAACAGATTAATTGCCTCACTGGTTTTCTTTACACCTGAAAATTTTATAGATGTTATAGATTCCTGCTCACTACAAGAAAATTGGTCATCAGTGACAACTTTTCTCTGTGACGAAAAAAAGTTGTCACAAAAGTGGATCCTTTATTGACGACTTTGTAACTCGTTACAAACTTCTAATGGGAGCCAACTCATTTGTGACGACTTAGAAAAGTCGTCACTAGTAAATTCCCGCCAAGATTTAGTAAGAGCGCGGGAGTGCTTAAAACACACAATAGTGACGACATTAAGAACATCATCACTATTGCTTGGCCTATTTACGGACGACTTTTTGTTGTCGTCACTAATCACTAAAAAAAAAAAGTTATTAGTGACAACATTTTGTAGTGATGACAATAGGTCGTCACAAAAGGAGCTTCTTTAGTCGCGACACCTAAAGTTGTCACAATTGCATCAAAGCAACTAAATGTTTAGTGACGACCCGTTATTTTCGTCACAAACTACACTGCAAGAAATATGGTCATTAGTGACAACATTTTTTAGTGACGACAAAAGTCGTCACAAAATGTGGTTGTTTAGTGACGACAAGGAAAGTTGTCATAATTGCTCAAAGCAACTAAGTCTTCAGTGACGACCTTGAAAAAGTTGTCACTAAAATGCTCTATATAGTGACAACTTCTAATATCGTCACTGTCACTCTACTGATTCGGATTTAGTGACAAGAATTGATCGTCACTGTTTAAAATACTTATTTCTAAGTCACTTTCATTAATTCTACTGTGCCACCCTAACTTTT